TTGTTTGGGGTTTTTTGTGGGCGTTCCACATAGTTTGGTTGCCGGCTTGCCGCCCAGGTATATTAACGACTGCCCAAGTATATTTGGTGGTCACACATGATTAATACAATTATTATCATCCGTTAACACTTTTCATCTATTTTCCCAAAAAACTCAAACATTTGCGATCGATTAACCAGTGGAAAATCTTCTCTCGCTCTGCATGTTTCTGCCTGGCTTTTGCTTTCATTTTCTAAAGTTGCTGTTATTATTATGTATTTTTGCATTACCCTCTCACAGCTGATTTTGCACGCACAGCCACGAGAAATAAATTAAATGATTAATTATTTAATTAAGGCCTCAGATAAACTTTACTATATTTTTGGAAAGAACAAACTGACATCTATACTGGCCGCAAAACATTTTTATACACCATTAGACATGGTTAATTAACTAGTTTGCCTTATTTACACAATCTGCACTTTTTATTCGTGTAATTATTATAATTTTTGCAATATTGTATATTTTCATTCATTTTTTCTGTTTTTTATTTCTTATTTGCTGTATATTTTATTAATTTAATGATGTTAATATATTGCAAACTTTATACACATCTAAAATGCTTTGGCAATACTGTTCAAAATATCATGCCAATAAAGCAACTTTAGAGAGAGAGAGAGAGAGAGAGAGAGAGAGAGAGAGAGAGTGCACATGGCTCCTAAATAGCATAAAAGTAAGAAAAAAGTGGATTTCTTTTATTTCAATGGTCTGTTTTAATAACTTTAACCCATTGAAAAGAAAAGATGTCGTAATACAAAAAATTGCAGTGTCTTAATAAATAAACATTTGATTAAAAATTAAATTTTTTTTTTGTTTGTTGCATGTAGTTGACCATTTCTGCTTTGGGTAAAAATTGTGTTTCATTCCGGCTACCACCACAATTATTTTTTACACTTGTGGAAAGCACTGTATTATGAATTATTATTTTCAGAATGCTTTTGAAGAGCGTAAGATTATTGTATTATTACAGCACCAAATGCTTAAAGCCTAAGCTTTTAGTTGCAAACATAAACATGTAAATCACGTCAATCTGGCCTTCAACATGACATTTACAGAATATGAAGTTTAGATTCATAAAACCTCTTAATGTGGCTTGATATTTTCTTCTAACTCTTGTGTGTAGGCTCAAAAATATACTTCTATAGTGTTGAATAAGTTCTTTCCATAGTTCTTTCCATTGCCTTCAACGTAACATAAACATAGGAGGCTAAAAAAATGCCATATTTAGGAGATTTCAGATGGCATATAGAGGTTTTTGCATCTGAACTCTTCATATGTTCTTCATAGTCTTTAAAGGCCTGTCACTTGTCAACACTCTAGTTGTTGTCTAGTTGTAAACTTAATTGATGATGAAAGCTACCTGTAGATCATTTATTAAATTTTAATTCATAGATTTCTTAGTTTAATTCATAGATTTCAAGTATTTCTTAGAATTCTTAGTATAATAATAAAATTTAATATGCCTAGTTTAAACATTTACAATTAAAGCAAGATTAATTTTTTTACAGAGCAAGTACTTAATTAACTAAATGTATTTACTATTTGGTTAACCTCAGGATGAGAACTAACATGTAATAATGCATAATTTATTGTTATAACACTACTATCTACAGAACACGTGTAACAAACAATGTTACAACGCAAAATACAATTTTAAAACAGTAAACAACACCCGTACTACTTTCAATTAAGAAAGAGCTCTACTTACAGACATATTTTACTGTATAGCAATTAAAAAATAAACCATATTTGTATTATATTTTCTTTCAAGTCAAACATTCTACCGATATTTTCTTCTAAATTCAAAGCAACACACTTTAGCATCTGCATATGCACGCTAGCTGGCTAATTGTACAGCAACAAAAGACATGCACACAGACACATGCGGCTTAAAAAGTAATATTAAACTAATGTTAGGTCTAGTTTGGCGTGCCTAAATAAAATACTATTGCGGTGAAACTGGCGCGATCACAGTGTGAAGTGGTGGACAGCGGTCAAAGTGAAAACAAAAACAAATGGCTCAATTCACTCTCCTTCCTGGTTTGGCGGCAGCGCGCGGCCTATCTAGTTATGTGATGCGCCGCAACGCGTATGTGAGCCTATAAAATCAGAATTAAAGTTTTAATCTCTCTCGTTAACAGAAATGCATGCCCAAAATAGTATACCTGCAGAGCGACCCGTACAAATCCACAAGTCGCTTCACTAAGGATCAATATCTGCAGAGACAACGTGTTTCTGTTGCCGTGGAGAAAACAACGAGCTCGAGTTCCTTGTGCGAGTCTCGGGCACGCGCCTCTGCCAGCCGACCGGTGGCGCGCATGACATTCTGACAGACGTGTGAGGAATGATAATGAGCCCAGAAGAGACTATTGAAAATGTACTTAGATCTATTACAAGTATAAATATATGCTTAGAGAAAACAAATACACAATGCACTGCTATAAAACCGTTTAAAATAAATAAAAATAAAGCATTCAGATATTCTAAATTTCTTATAATATTTTACTCATTTAAAAACACATTCCCTTTTCATGTCTTATCCGTGAAAAAGAAATCTGTTTTATAAATGAAGAACATTTAAACAAGTTTTTTTTCTTATTAATATTTACCCTCATTATAAATCTGAGTCACTTATGAAAGATGCAAACTTAATAGTTGTTTGGAATTACCACTTTATAATTATTGTTTATATACATACACACACACACACACACACACACACACACACACACACACACACACACACACACACACACACACACACACACATATATATATATATATATATATATATATATATATATATATATATATATATATATATATATTCACACACACAAAATACAAAATAATAGTGAAATAATAAATAAAACAAAATTATAACCAAAGCATATAAAAGCTGGAAAGAAACGACTAAAAACTCAACTATTTAGTCTCCACTTCACTTCCTAATCTGCAATTGCCTATTTGAATATCACACTAACTGTACAAAAAAAAAAAAAAAAAAAAAATTACTAACACTTCCCTTCTTAGACTTTACAGACCTGAAACTTGCCTATAGCACTTATTCATTGTTGCTCTTAGTTGTGTAAATTGCTTCCTTGTCCTCATTTGTAAGTCGCTTTGGATAAAAGCGTCTGCTAAATGACTAAATGTAAATGTAAATGTAAATGTAATGTAAATGGAAAGTGCTTACAACACTACAGATCAGAGGTCCCCAAAACTAAAGTTGACTAAAGTTGGCCTGTTGTAACTTCTGATTTGGCCCAACATCCCATCTGAGAAGAGAGTGAGGATGATGGAGAGGGTTGGGGTTTTATTGCTGAGCCACAAAAAAGCAGACTGGAATTTAATGTTTTAAATTAAATATTGTAAATGAATCAAAGGTTTTAAAACGTAAATACTGTCACTCGACAAATAGAGGACTATGCAGAAGACCTCGGCGAGCAAATCAAGGCAAAAACTAGAGTAACTCCATTCTGTTATAGATTAGATTGTTTTAGTTTTTACTTTAATAAGCTAATTTTAAAATGTATAGGATATATATACTGCTTTAGTTAATATAAAACAACGTTTTGTAGTTATTTTTAAATATTATTAAATAAATTATGAAATTACTCATGGTAACTATAATTACCTTTAGCCCACTCCTCACTTAAAATAGTAGGTTTAAAAATACCCCAACATATACCCCAACCATAGGTTATTGTAGCACCTACGCAACTATGGGTTATTTGAACTTAAATGATTTAACCCAATGAATTGGGTTATTTTGATTAAATGTTATTTGTTTCATTGTGGTATTACTTTTGCTACTATTATTAGTTCTACTATTATTTTATAATTATGGCTGAGTAAATAAATAACATTACGCACCCATATTAATACAGCTGTTTGGTGACAGTTAAATCAGTTAGCTGGTAAAATTAAAAATTTTCCAAAAATTCAAAATAACCCAATAAATGTTCAAAATAACCCAAGAAAGCGAAAGATATTTAACCCAACTGGTTAAGTCATTAATAAATAACCCAATAAAGGTTAGAATTAACCCAACATAGCAACAAATATTTTTTTACTTAACCATTCGGTTAAATAAATAGCTTAACGTTTTCTTGGAGTGTAGCCTTCATAAAGTTTGGTTTTTGGCCCTTCAAAGTTTGGGCACCCCTGCTATAGATTAAAGGAGAGCTTCTGATTCTCAGGATAGCTTTTAGGTTTTGAGTTAAAATTCTAGATTATAAAATGCTTAAATTTACTCTAAAATTGTGACACACGGTAGCTTCTGGAATGGTATTGTCTGTACAAAAAAATACAGATTAATTCTGCTCAGAGGTTGAATAAATACCTTTACACAGCAATTACCGCATTCCAGCTGCAACCCAGTACTGAGAGAAACATCCATAACGTTACACACTCATTTACAGATATACACTACGGACTATTTCATTCATTCATTAATTTTCTTCGCGGCTTAGTCTATTTGTTAATCAGGGGTCGCCACAGCGTAATGAACCGCCAACTTATCCAGCATATGTTTTATGCAGCGGATGCCCTTCCAGCTGCAACCCAGCACTGAGAAACACCCATACACTCTCATTCACACACATACACTACTACCAATTTAGTTTATTCAGCTTGGACTGTGGGGGAAACCCACTCGAACTCGGTGGAAACATGCAAACTCAGAACATAGAAATGCCAACTGACCCAGCAAAAAGGTTAAAAACACCAAAGAAATTTCGTTTCCTAAATAAAAAGTATGCAATTTTCACAAATTTTTATTCTCTTTCAAAAGGCACTCGCCAAAAAAGATTGAAGTGCCTTTTTGGTGTCAAAATAAAAGGTTTAATGTCTTCCATGTCACCAGGGGGCGATATTGAGCGTGCTTCACGCCAATGAGATGTACGTCACATTAGAAGAATTTAGCGTAGCGGAAACATAAACACAAGCAGGCTAAAGTTCAGCGTTGCTAGTGTGTATGTTTTGCGTTTAAGTTGTGTTTAGGTTTCTCGGTGAGTCTCAACACATTCATAATATTCCTAACTAAGTATTTTGTCGCAGTGCTAAAAGTGATTTAAAACCGCTGTTTGCTAACGTACATATCTAGCTGGATTAGCTTGGCTCGTTCTTGGTGAACTGCGACATGACTAGCAAAACGTAACCAATACGTCCCTTTTAACAGAACAAAATAAGGGAATCAAAGACGTCGTTATAGTGTAGTAATGCCTGAGCTAGACGTGAAGCATTCAGGCTCTGTGAGCCCGAGGAGACGCAGACACAGCCGCTCCAGCAGCCGATCCCCGGACCGAGCACTGAAGAACCACAGACACAACCATGAAGACGAGCACAAATCACGACACGGCGACAAAGACCGCAGCAGAAACCGCTTCCGAATGGCGTATTCCCGCAGTCGCTCGAGGTCAAGGGAAAGGGACCGACAGACCTGGTCGGACAGAGATCACGGATTCTCCGATTACTATGAAAAAAGAGACGACGCTCAACGACAGAGACAAGAAGCCTTCATCGCGAGGTCAGAGAGACTCTCATTATACTTTTTCTAAAAGTAAATGTTAACAGCAGGAAAATATCCTCGGTTTACACCTTAAAGGGTTCCATAGGATGCTCACATATGTCCTCACCGTTTATTGACACTCACGTGGTGCTGATATTTTATAAATTTCCTTCTGTTAAACACAAAACTACATATTATGAAGAAAGCGGGCAAAATTCAGCCATTCACATCCATAGTATGAACAGAAGTTGTTCTATTCAAGTGAATGACATGTTTTCCAGCATTTATCAGTATAATATTTTTGTGTTTAACAGGAGAAACTCTGGTTTCTTCTAGAGCAGTGGTTCTCAAACTGTGGTACATGTACCACTAGTGGTACGCGGGCTTCCTTCTAGTGGTACGCGGAGGAATGAAATATGTCATGTACATGCCACATATTTCAAAATTTATCAAAAATTATGTATATAATATGCCATACATGACATTTAGCCTACATTTCTAAGTTTATCTGCCATGTTTTTTTTACCTGTGCAGAGTTGTAGCTGCTTTACTGGACCTACTACGCTACAGTATTTCAATACTGCTCATTTTGGTGGTACTTTGGAGAGACAATTTTTTTCTGAGGTGGTACTTGATG